TCCCACGAGCGGGGGAAGGAGGGGTTCTGGCCGAGAGAGAAGACAACATCCGCGAAACCACCTGCGCCCAGAGGGCCAGTGGGACTTCTGAGAGGGCCGGCGCTGACTTCCGAGCCTTCCGAGAGGGCCTTCTCCTTCTCACATTCCCTCTCTTCGGATGCAACTCCCGGGAGGTCAAATTCTGATTTTGCCCTTGTCCGAAATCCGGCTCAATCCCTCGTAATCCCGCTTAATCCGGCTTGATCCCGCTTAATCCCGCTTAATCTGGCTTGATCCGAGGCCCACTCCGGCGTAACAGCCCTCCAATGGGGCTGAATCCTCTTCAATCCTTCCGGCGAAAACCTCCCAGTAGTTGCCTCCTGACCCCTCCTCGCTCACCGCCGACGTGTGCTGCGAGCATCCGGAGGACCGCCTGCCGAGACAGCGGGGGCCTTTTCCTGGCGCGTCTCGTGCTTTGTCTGGCCCCCCCCCCTCTGGAGGCGTCCCGTCGCTGGTGCTGGATCCGCCCCGGAAGGCCCTCGCCTTCCAGGGTCGAAGGGGTTGGCATCTCTCAGGAGGGGAAAACACACAGACACAATGAATCGTCGATGCCCAGGAAAATGTAAGAAATATAGGAAGTGGGGGGGAAGACAAAACCCAGAAAATATGGAATATATGGGGAATCCGGTTATTGTATCTATTTACTCGTGTGTCCCAGGGCCCCTTGAATCTCTTCATCGGCGGAAGGCGGCGAAAGGTCGGCGGGAGCTGGCGGAAGCAAAACGAGGCCGCTTCCGCCGGCGGAAGCCGGCGGAGGTAAGCATCGGCCTCCGAAGAGAGGGCAGCCTTTTCGGGTTCATGCTATCTGGAAACCGCCACGTGTCAGAGTGGACCCCTGGAAGGGCCTCAAAGCGATTTGTAGCGGATCTGGACTGGGCGTAAAGGCCGCCGTCGTCTCAACTGGCCCACCTCCGAGTTACGAGCATGTCGCATGTCCGGGCTCACGGCCTCGCTCTCTCACGAGCCACGATCGTATCCGCAGGCCGTGCTCCCGCCTTCCCCCGAGCTGCGACCACGTGCGCTCCCGTGCCCTGGCCGTGCGGACGCGGCGGCGGCGACCCCGGCGCGGGCGTTCGAGGGTGAGCGCCGCTGGTGGCTCTGAAGCGGCCGACGTCGAACGCTCTGCGAAATCGGCAAGCCGAGGAGGAGGAGGAGGAGGAGGAGGAGGAGGAGGCGGAGGAGGAGGAGGAGGAGGAGGAGAGCGCTCGAGGCTGCGCGATCCGTGCGGCAGCAGGCGCCAGTCCGACGTCGTCACAGCGCGAGCCTGGCTGCACCGAGGCGCGGTGCCACGGGGGCGCGCGAGGCCACGGGGGCGTCCTGCGCGGGGGGGCGTCCGCGCGGGGCCGCTGCGTGCGTCTGCCGGGGCCGCGGCCGAGGAGTCCAGGCCAGGGGGGCCACGAGTGCAGACTTTACTCGCTTGCGCAGCTGTGCTCAAGAGCTCGGACCTCTTTATGTTCGTTCGTCGTCGTCGCTCGGTCGTTCGCCCGTCGTTCGTCCCCCCCCTCTGCCACAGAAGGAAGCTCCTGGAGGAAGGAGGCGAAAGCCTCCTGTCCCTCGCAGCTCCTGTAGGTGCAGGAGCCAGGGCACGCGTGTAGCCCGCAGGGGAGGGTTGGTGCGGCTTCGACGGGGGTCGGCACCAGTCGTTGCCATGTTCTTCGGGGGGCAGTCTTGGCGTCCTGTGGGGGATCGGGCGGTCTTGGAAGCCCCCTGAGTGCCTTCGTGGTGAATGAACAACGGAGTGCGTGCGCGGAGAGTAGACCAAATCGAGGATCCCGTCAGCCGCCCTGGGAACCAGCTGAGGGCCTCTGCAGGTCCACGGGTCACGAAATTCGTGAGTTCTTTGCCGGATTCACGCTCGCAGGAGCAGTCTTGAGGGGCCGTCTGAACGTCTCTAGGGTCCTTGGTGCTCGCAGTGCGTGAGGGGTGCGCCTACATGAGGCTCAATTGAACCGTCTTGAGGGACCAGCTGAAAGCTTCTGGGCCCATGCGGCAGGAAGTACGTGACGGGTGCGTCAAAATGAGACTCCCCACAACTGCCTTGAGGAGCTAACTGCAAGCCCCTCGGGGGCCATGGAGCACGCAGTGCGTGAGGGATGTGCTGAAATGAACTCCTCGTGGCCTTTGAGCGGCCGCTCATCATATTTCCTGTGCCAGAAGCCTGGGAACCTCAACGCGCTGATACAGAATAATCGGCTACAGGAATGCGCGGAGCCGCTCTTAGCATTCATGTTGCAAAGAATATCCTTCTCCCGCTACACTCCCGCAGGGCGCACGCCGAACTCAACCGCATCGCGCATTCTGCTGGCCCATGTTGCTTCGTCCATGGCATTTGCTAGTATGCTGGTGGGCATTGTGAGGTTGAGGTGCGGTCGCAGTTTTTCCCCGAGCTGCCGTGTGAAGCTCGCGCGGGGGAGAACCACAATGGCCTGGCATACAGAGTGCGACACCTCATCGGAACACGTTCCCGCCCAAGCTCCGGGATCTGAGCCAGAACACACTAATCCTTTTGGTACGTCGCAGCGCGGCAGAGGCAATCCGCACGCGCGTCTGGGCGAGGCCAGGCACTTGGCACGGAACCGCGAACCAACCAGCATGCAGGAGGAAGAGAGGCGAGGGAGGCGGCCGCGGGGAGGGGGAACTGGGCGCGAGGCACTCCCACGCGGCGAGGCTGCGGCGAGCGCGCGGGGGCGGCCTGGCTGAAGGGCAGCCCCTGGCAGCCGTCTCGGGGCGGCATCACGATGCACCCATGGGCGGGGGCAGCAGCCGCAGTGTGGGCGAAGCGCAGCAAGTGGGGGAGGGGGAGCAGCGGGCGGCCGCAGAACTGGGGCGCCAGGCGGGGGGAGGCAGCGGGCCACGGGCGACCAGCGCTGCAGCAGCTGCGAGTGCTGCCCCAAGGCGGGCGGGCCAGTGGCGAAGCGCGACTGCGCGGCTGGGCTGCAAGCCGCGGAGGCACGGTGCAGGGGGCGGACGGTGGAGAAGCGGAAGCCTTCCCGCAACCGGCGCACGGCCTCATACCTTGGGGCTTGGGCGGAGCCCAGTGCAAAGGGGCGCACGGGCGGGGCTCCCACGAGGGGGAGGACAGGGACGGGTCTTTCGGGGGCCATTCGAGGGGGCGCCGAGGGGGGCGACCACCAGGGGGCAGGGAAGGAAACAGGGTGGCACCCCGAACGCTCAGAGAGGGCCGTGCCGCGTGCCAGAAACACGGCAGGGGCCCGGGGCGGAGGGGCAACAACGGGAGGTGAGCCGCAAGGGCTGTGTTCCCCAAGTGGGGTAGCGCAAGTTGCAGAAAGGGGCGAGGCCACCTGTAAAGCGCTGGGGCTTTGGGAACAGTCACCAGCAGGAAGCGGCCCAGCGCGCGGCTCGCCAGCCGAGAAGCGTGGGGCAGAGGGCGTGCGCCATCACAAGGCCCGCGCACAGCATCACACCCTGGGACTTGGCGGAACCCAATGCGATGACGCACGGGCGGGGCTCCCACGAGGGGAAGGCGGAGAGAGGGACGGACCGCTACGCGGTGCCGTCGCGCGGGGGGGGGGCGCCGCGGACGGCAGCCACCAGAGATGCATGGGGATGGGCGGGACACCCACACGCCTAGAGGACAGCGCGAGCTGCCGACGGGCGAGGCCACCTGCAAAGCCTTGGGGCTGCGGGAAGCAGTCTCCACCAGGGCGCGGCCCAGCGCGCCGCTCGCTGGGCGTCCGACGGGGGCAGAGAGTGGCGACTGCCAGTCCTCGTGGCCCAAAAGGGGGTCCAGCTGAAAGGGGGTGGTGGTGCGGGGGCGGGGCGGGGCCCGAGGTGGCAGGGGCAGAAGGCAGCGCACCAGCCGCCGGGGTCACAGCACCGAGGAGGGGCTGCGCCGACGCGGCGGGGCAGCATATTAACGAGCAAGCAGTGCGACACCTTTGTGGGCTGGATGAGCTTTCTGGGGGGCCGCTTTTTCGGGTCTCTGGAAGGCTTCGGGGGGTCCATGGGGCGTCTACGGCAGTTTTTTGCTGCCCTGGATTTGGCCACATTTCGGTCGTCGTGGGTCTGCCGCCCAATTCCCGCTCCGGGGCTGCTCTTGGGCTCTCGCGTTAAGTCGGGCGTGTCCCTCTACAGGGGGAATGTTCAGAAATAGTTGCAAAATAGCCTGGGGACGATTTTCTGACCATCTTTGACCATTTTGGGGTATTTTTAGGTCCTCCTAGGGCCCTTTTCGTCACTCGTGGCCCTCCCAAATGTCTCACTGTCAGGTTCCTTAGCCTATGGACTTGGTGTTTTCGTATCTATACGGCCTCACGGGCTGGGCCAGCCCCTGGGCCACGACCCCGTGGATGCAGGGCGCTTGATCGTGGATGCCCCGCACGGAACGTGTCCATGCGACCGCGCATTGACGGGGCCGCGACTCAAATTCCAGACCGCGAGGGCATGGATATGGATGCGTTTGCCGCTCGAGGTGCCGGTGCCGATCTCGGAGGAAGGCCACTTGAGACTCCAGCGGGCCCTCCTGCCCCGACTCCGCTCAGGATCGGTCCCCGGGCCCCTCCCGAGGTCCATCCTGGCCCCGTTTCCCGGGGCGGCGCTGGCCGTGGCAACAAGAGGCCTCCGGGAGGCCCACCAGGCACGAGGACCGCCGGGGAGGGCCGCCGTGGTCTCGACTGGCCCCTCCTCCGACGGGCGGTCCTGCCGTCGAGGGCACATCGCCGATCTACCGGCGATGCAGCGCCCATCCCACGGGTCCGTGCTTTTGCCCTCCTGACCCCGTCCTTTCCCATTGTTCCCCCGCGCGTCGTCTCGCCTGTCCCTCCTCCGACGATGAGCCGCCCCGGGCGCCAGGCCCTCCTCCTCCTCCTCCTCCTCCTCCTCCTCCTCCTCCTCCTCTTCCTCCTCCTCCTCCTCCTCCTCCTCCTCCTCCTCCTTCTCCCCCTCCTCCTCCCCCTCCTCCTCCTTCTCCTTCTCCTCCTCCGCACCCAGCGCTGGGCCGCAGCCACTTTGGCTGGAGCCGCCCGGGGGGTCGCGGGCGGGCCCCTCCGCGGGGGCCCCGGCGCGGCTGCCGCGCCCGCGCCCCTGCGTGCGCGGGTGCCCCGGGCGGGGCGGGGAGGCGCGATGATGTCCTGCTCGGCGTGCGGCTCCACGGACCTCGTGCTGAACCCCAGCAGGGGCGACACGGTCGGCAGAGCCGACGCTCGGTGGGGGGATCGGCGCAGGGATCAGCCCTCGGCATCGTTGAACCCATCCCCATCCCCCTCCCCATCCCCTTCGAGACCCCCACCAAGCCACCACCCGAGTTGGGGATACACCCCTCGAACCCCGAGGGGAACGACCTACATCCCCATCTAGCGGGGGCAAATTGACCAGTGGGGCCCAGGCCACGCCGCTGGGGATGGGGATCGGTTCAACGATACTCCAGCCCCCCGATCGCCCATTCATCGCCGATAGGCCCAGGAACAGGAACGTGCGGTGTCTAGCGCCGATCAATCGGCGATGCAACGCCGATGCCACCTCGACGTTTCTCCCCCTGAGTTGGTCCCCCCTCGCGTTCCCCCCCAGGTCTGCGGCACATGCGGCGAGGTGCTGGAGGAGCGCAACATGGTCGTGGACGTCTCCTTCGGGGAGGGTGAGGGCGGCGCGAAGTATTTGCAGGGCAGGACGTTTCAGATCACGACCAGTCAGGAGAGGGTCACCAGCAAGGGGATCGCGGAGATCTGCAAGATCGCCAGCAGCCTCGACCTGGACGCGACCATCCAGGAGAGGGGGCCGTCGCCCACACAGACCTGTGGTTCGAGCTCCCACGAGCCAGGGCTGCGTGCTTGCCTCGACTCACTGCGCAGTGAATCCCGTGACTTCAATTTCCCTCTGCGCGGGGCAGTCTCCGTTCCAGGCGGCACATACAGTCGAGGCCCTGAGGAAGGAACCCTTTTCGTTGGGGAGGGGCTCGGTGTTCCTTAGTTGTTTTGCAGTTCGCCTTTGGTTTTGCTGAGGTTTTCGATATGACATCGAAGTTTAACTTGTGGAAAAAAGGGGCCTCGTTCCTTGTTCAGGGTTCCTTAGGTCAAGGCCCTGACTGTACGTGCTTACCTCGATTCACTGCGCAGTGAGTCCTGTGACTTCAATTTCCCTCTGCGCGGGGCAGTCTCCGATCCAGGCGGCACATCGCAGCCTTCGACTCGACTGCGAGGCCGCCGCTGGATCCTGCTGTTCCCCCCCCACCAGGAACATCGCTTTGACTCACGCTCTTGGGTCGAGCGGCATCGTGTGGCTATTCGTCCATGGCGATGCTGACAGACACGAGTCTCGAAGAGCACATCGACACCGATAGTCGCGATGCCCTTTTCCTTGCGTTGTGCGGGCTGCGCTGCACGTGTGATGAATGAGGATCTGAGCTGGCATGCGTTGACTGCGAGTTTGGCTGTGCCCGGACGTCTCACGAGTACTGTAGTCACGGTGAGCAAGCTGTTTGTGGCAATTGCAGACGCAGGCATGATAACCTGAGGGGCTGCGGCTACTGCCGCTGGACTCAGGCGGAGCCAGCTTGGGAACGTCTTGGGGCTAACGTCGTAAGGCTCTCTTGGAGCTCTGCTGGACGACCCAGGAGCCTCTTGGGAGCATTCGGCCTGGTAGATGGGGTCGGAGGATCGCGCCGCACCGCCGGTGCATCGCAGATGCGACCCGATGTGGAGTTCGATTTGCTTCACGTCGACGTCGCCGATGCATCGCCGACGTCGAGGATGCATCGCCGGCGCGTTGCCGATACATCGCCGATGTATCGGCGATGCGGCACGATCCCCCGATGCCATCTACTCCGACCTAGGAGGCCTCTAATCGTGGGGCTTTCAGGGGCCACCTTCGAGGCGACCTTGTGCAAGACTGGGGCCGTCTGCGGGCCTCGGGGGGCCCTCGTGGGCGCCAGTCGGTGGCATGCTGGGATGCTTTCTGTCTGCTCGGCACCTTGGGCGATGCCGGTGGCGCTGTGGGGCGCTGCGCTGGAGCTGCCTTGGGGCTTCACGCGTCGTCTTCGAGCCAGCATTGGACATTCCGGGAGGAGACAAGCCGCTCACCAAACACATTGACCAACAGAAGTTGGTCAGCGGTGTCGTCGCCCTCTCGAGGCGTAGCGGCGCCCTCTCGGCGGGGGGCCGCTTGAGCCGACTCGGGGCCCCCTTTGCGGCAGTCTTTGGCCATCTCTCGGAACTCTGTTTGGGCTCTCTCGGGGCGCGTGTGGAAGCCGCTTGGCCTTCTATTGACAGTGTGGTGGCGTCCCTGCGGCAACCTGGGAGAACCTCTAGCGCCCAGGGGGCTGAGGCATACCACACCCGGTGTTCTGTTTTGGAACTGCAGGCCCCCTCTGTTTTTGGCACTCCTCGGACGTGTGGATTTTTCTCGGCGGGAATCATCGTGTGAACAGAAACAACAAGGCACAACAACGAAACATGAACGGGGAATGAACGTCCGAGCGATGGCAAGTTTCGACATCAGAAAGGAGGTCGGGCCGACAGACAACTGCAGAAACCAAAATATAGTACAACACGGACAAAGTAATGGCGACAATAATCACCAGGACTGAGGGAGCTCTAGGGTGCGTCACACCCTGGCGCCCCACTGGGGGCCGTGGGATATGTCTTCACGGTCTGCGAGTTGCTCGTTGAGTATACGCACGTATGCCAAGCTTGTGACATGTTTGATGTAACACGTGTCGTCGTTCTTTTTGTGATTTGGCTTCCAACATTCAGGAGCCAGGACGCCGAATACTGACCCTTGCGGTTCAGAAGGGCTTCAACCAGGGCCGGTCTACCAAGTTGATTGCCTCCGCCTGCCTTTATCTTGCGTGCAGGCGTAGCCGCTCCCACCACCTCCTGATCGATTTCTCGGACCACTTGCGGAGACCGGTCAGGGAAATCGGTGGGACATACGTGAAGCTCATGCAGCGGCTGCTGGGAAATCACGCCCGCTTCCCTCTGGACGCGGGGGCGCCGCTGATGGAGATTCCAGTAGTGGACCCTTCCGTATTTATCGAGCGATTCGCCCGGAAGCTCTGGAAGGCCATGTGCCTCAAGGGGCACCCGATGAAACATTTGATGACGGTCGAGGACTGCGCCTGCAACGCCTGCGGTCTCCAGATCGCTGGCAGCTCCTGGATATTCTCGTGCAGCTCGTGTAAGACATTCGTGTGCGAGCAGTGCCAGAGGGAAGCGAGTGCGGACATGATGGTCTCACAGGATCTGAGGGGGGAGGACCGGCACGCCCGTCGCCAGCGGGACACTTCCAGCAAGGATGCCCACGATGCCTCCTCGGGCTGGAGATGGGGTATGTCTCGAGTGGGACGCCGCAAAAGAAAGAAGTTGCACCACCCGGAGGGCTCTCCCCGGCCCCTCTCCGGTGTGGTGGTGCCGATTTAGATTTTCGCCCCTGGCAGGAAACAGCCCGCACTCGCAAGCAGGTCCAGAACACAGCGATGCGCCTCATCCAGTTCATGCACCGCGACTGGACACCACGTGCGACGAACATATCCATACCTATGCGTTCGCGCTCCGGACACCGAGGCACGATCTTTTGGACACGAGATTCAGTGGATACGTTTCGCGCGGGGCATCCGCGCAAAGCCGCTCTGCTTCTTGGGATCGCGGCGTGGGGGTCTAGACCACGAGGCCGAGGATATGGATCCCAGCCCGCCAGGATATGCGTGGGGCGACGCCCGAACGGCCTCGTCGGGGCGGCGCTGCTCATCGCGGCGTTCTACCACAAGATCGGCTTCTCTGCCGGGGACATCTCGGAGGTCGTCAGGATCGGCGAGGGGACGCTGCGGCTGCGGCTGAAGGAGGTCATGTCCACGGCCGTGTCCTCCATGAGCCGCGAGGAGTTCGAGCGCCAGGGCGACGCCCTGGTGGCGGACCCGGGCGCGCGGCAGGGCGACGGCTCCGAGCAGCCGCCCTGCCTGAAGAGGCGCGCGCGGCAGCTCCCATGGCTGCCGCCCCGGGCCCACGAGACCCCCGGGGAGGCCCCGGGGGCTGCCCCCGCGGAGGCCTCCCGAGAGGCCCCCCCCCATCCCCCCGAGGCAGGCCTCTGGAGGCCCCTCGAGTCCCCGGCGCGAGTGCCGAAGGCGCCCGAGCACATCCCGCCCTCGGCCCGCGGGGGTCGATGTGGGGCCCAAGTCTTTTTATGCCGACGTCGCCGAGGCATGGACGACGGCGCCAGTGCATCGCGATGCAGCGGCGATGTATCGCCGACGGATCGGCGATGGGCGACCTGGCCAGACGGGGCCAGGACGAGGGCAAACATCCGTTCCAGAGCGGCCCGGAACGCTCTCAGAGGGTTCCCGGAACGCCTCTGAGGAGACCGCGGCGCCGGAGGCCTTCTCCAGAGCCCCCGCATCTCAGAGACTCTCGATTCTTTCATCCGCCCCCGAACTTATTCGTCTCATTCCTCCCTGGCTTACTCGTCCCGAACTTACTCGTCTCATTCTTCACCTCTTCCTGGCTTCTTCGTCTCTTCTTCGCCGGAGGCGCATGCTGAACGAGCGCCAGCGGCAGATGCTCCGGCGGGCGCTTCCGGACGCGGGGCCGCAAGCGACGCCGCCGGCCCTGCTCGACGGCGCGGCCGCGCCCGCGAGCGCGGCCCCCCTGCTCGGCGGCGCGGCCTCGGCCAGGGGCCCCGCGGCCGAGTCCGCGCCCGCGCTCTCGCAGGTCCTCGGGGGCCGAGGCAGAAGGGGGCTTCGGCGGCGCGCCCAGGTCGGGGGTGGACAGAGCCCCCACCCTGACACGTCGATTAGTGGAATGTTCGTTTTCGATTCTTGAGAGGGCGCCGCGGCCGTCATTTTCCAGGCTTGCGCCCGCCAGGTTCGGGCCCGAGGTCGTTTTTCACTAGACCACGTTTTGCTAAAGGGGCTTCTGTCCATCCCCGACCAGGAGGGGTCGAGTAGGGGATCGACTGCAGCATGGAAGTGCCCCACATGTTCTATTTTCCACGGCGAATCTGCGAACAGAGACGCAGAATGTTCACAGGTCGACGAGAGTCCTGCGCACTTTCCATGGATCCGACGAGGCATCTCAATTGTAGGGTACATCAATTCGGTAGTCGATCCCCTACGTACTCGAATGGGGGAGGGCCGGGGAGTGGGGGGCGGCGTGCCTTCTCTTGGGCCGAACGAGAGGGGGGAGATAGAAAAAGGGGGGTTACGAAATCTGCTGCATGAAGCTGATTGCGGCCCCGCCGCCGGGCCCATTCCTCGATACATGGGCGCCTCCAGGCGCCGGGAGGCGTTGGGAAACTCAGCAACTCAGCTACGTGAGCTGATTCTCTACCCTACCCTTTGCTATCCCCCCCTCTCGTCCCGCCCGATTCTCGGAGGGCTCAGGAGGCCCCTGGCCTGCCGAGAGGCTTTCGGAGCTCTCTCTCCGGGGCTTCGTTCAAGCAGTGGCGAAGCGTCCTGGCTCGCCGATAGCCCTACCAAACAATGTTCCAAGAATGTCTAGTGGTTTCCACGAAATGTTCTTAGAACATGTCTGGCTGGGGCTGTCTTGTTTTAACGCATCGGGTTTAGGTTCTAAGAACATTGTTTTGTAATTGGAGCATTTTTGGGTGTAGTATAATTTCGTGGTATGACTATAGGACTGCCGGAACGGTCGGTCCCTGCTCAACTCGTCGCCTCCTGAGGAGACCTGGCCCTTCTCGCCTGGGCCTCGTGCAGGGCCCCCCTCTTGGAAGCCCTCGACGGGCCTCTCGTCAGCGCTCGGGGGGGGGCCGGCAACCCCAAACCCCTTTGCGTGATTTCTCTCTGTAGGGTGAATGCTGGCTGTGAGAGGCTTCTTCCTGGCGGCTGCAGTCTAGCCGCAGCAGTTCAGGAGCAGTCCGCTGCAGACGCCATCGGTCCTAAGGTTCTTCCCATCCTTCCCTCCTCCTCCCCTCCCCGGTCCCGCCTCCTCCCTTTCAGAAACACAACTGTCGGGTTGGGAGGATGGGGCTGGGAGAATGGATCACATCAATCTGACCGCGTATGATGAATCGAACGGCATACACATAAACTTTTGGTGCTCCGCGCGGATTTCTTGTATCGGCGCCAGGGGGTCCCCTGGCGGCGCCTCCGGCGCCGCCCCTGTCGAGCTCCGCGCGCCAGGAAGGGGGGTCCAGCGCAGATCCAAGAAATCCGCGCGGAGCGCCAGTAGTTTATTTGTATGCCGTGTTTTGGCTTCTATTGAAGGCGCTTGTTCCACAGTCGTATTTTCCCAACCCCTGTTGAAGGCCCTGTATCTTGCCAACCCCATTCCCCCGAACACGATCATTGTTTTTTATCACCCTTTCGCCGCGCCTCCCGAGGTTGAAAAAGCCACTCCTTGACCTCGTGGGGCGGGGATGCAACTGAGCTCTCCCCGCGTTTCCTCTGACGGGGCCGCCCTGCGCGACAAAATGCATCTACGGTCGCTGACCCAGGGGGAGGAGGAGGAGGAGGAGGAGGAGGAGGAGGAGGAGGAGGAGGAGGAGGAGAAGGAGGAGGAGGAAGAAGAAGAAGACTCGGCATTGCGCTGCATGTCTGATATCTCATGCCCGCTGCTGCTCAACGGTCATCAACAACCGAGCACCTCTGACAGTCGCTCGCTCGACGGGAAACGCTCGAGGTCGGGGCAAAGCGCACCGTGCAGCCTCACGAATTCGAGTGAGTGTTAGACCGATCGCAGCTCGTGCGGCCCGTGCGAGCGGGAGACGACAACCTCTCGGGACCCCACAGGGGGCCGATGCCTCCAGGACTGCCTGCCCCAGGCTGGCCCCTGGGGCACCCGAGCACCCCCGCATCGGGGCCCACGCCCCCAGCACGCAGGCAGCGACGGCGACCAGGAGCGACGCCGAGGCGAGGGAGGCGACGACACGGAAGAGCAAGAGCAGGAGCGAGGGAGGGGGAGAGGACAAGCGCAGGAGGAGAGCAGGCCAGCCGCAGCGGCGAGGGGGGGGGGGTGGGCAGAGGCCCGCACGGGCGTTGCCCTCTCGAGAGGGCAAGAGGAGAAGGGAGCCAGGCGAGGGCAGACGGGCGGAGCCGCGAGGTCGCGCGGGGCGGGCCTCGCGGAGCTCGGGGGGGGGGGCGGAGGACGCCGAAGCTCAGGCGCAGGGGGAGGACGCGACACCGTGCGTCCCAAGAGAGTCGGTAACCACTGGACGCAAGCAGCACAGTGGTCTCCCAGATGCAGATCTGGAACAGATCCCGAGCCTCGACGACCGAGAGAGGATCCGAGCACGACGGTGCACAGCAGGGGTCCCGCGGGGTCGTCGGACGAGCTCGCACCCCTTTGGGACGAATCGGATCCCTCAGGGCTGCGGGTCTCACTTGCCACGGCCCTTGCCCTTCGGCCTCGAGCGGTCTAGGAGCTTTTGCGTCATCATCTCGAGGTGTCGGGCAGGCGCTGTCCCCAATTTGAGGCGACTTCCCAGGTGGACCGATGCCTTGATCAGAGCCTGTTCGAGCAGCAGTTTCGAAAACACCGTCCTCTCGATCTGGAAACCGTCCGCAATTCTGAACTGGATGCGGCAGAAACTCTCGTTGTAACACTTCCGCACCCTGAAATGACGAACAACCAAGCCCATATCCTCCGTCGTCGCTTTCAAGATGAACTTGTTGTAAACATCAGTGATCACTTGACTCGGTTCCAGCAGAGTCTTCACCTTCTAGTCGTCCAGCAATGATCTGAACGCTGCTCGCGCGATGTACAATTGAGGGAGGAGGAGGGGGAGGGGGAGGAGGAGGAGGAGGAGGAGGAGGAGGAGGAGGAGGAGGAGGAGGAGGAAGAGGGCAACCTCTAAGGGCCTTTCATGAAGACCCCGTCAAACATGGGAACTCGTTATCTGTTGCACTGGCTAAGTGACGGCTTGGGACCGGAAACAATCTAGGGGAACTTATTCAATCGCTTCGCTCATTCCGCCGGCCCATATTGCAGCATCACTGGCGCTTGCCTGCGTGCCCGGGGGGTATTTGGGGGGCCTCCTGGGGCCGGTTGGGGGGCCTCTTGGGGGCATCCTGGGGCCGCTTGGGGGCTTCTTGGGAGCTTCCTGAGAGCCTCTGGGGGGTCTCTTGGGGCCTCTTAGGGGCCTCTTGGGACCTCCTGGGGGCTTCTTGGGTCCGAGGGCTGGAAATGTTGTTTCGTGTTCCCCCTCTTGGGGCGTTCTTGGGGCCCTCTTGGGCCGTCTTGGAGACCTCTTGGGCCGTCTTGGGGCTCTCTTGGGGGCCTCTTGAGCCCTCTTGGGGCGATCTTGGGGGCGTCTTGGGCTGTCTTGGGGCTTCGGGAAGCGGAAAAGGTGGAAAAGCCAAAATATGTCCAAAACCTAAGGAAAAGCAATGAATTTTGCCTCTTGGGGCCCTCTTGGGAGTACGCTTGGAGACCTCTTGGAGCGTCTGGGGGCCATCTTGGGCGTCTTGGAGCGATCTTGTGGCATCTCGGACGCCTCGTGTACCATCTTGGGGACCTCTTGCGGGCCTCTTGGTTTTGTTTGGGTCCTCGGGGACGTTTTCGGAGCCCTGTTGGTGCGCTCGTGGAGCGCTCGGGGGGACCCGGCCGGGACCCGGCCGGGGACCGGCCGGGACCTGGTCGGGGTACTTTTCGTCTGGGGACCCCCAGGGGCCGCCCCGCGCGCGCGAAGTAGAAACATTGTAGAGCAGTTACCGGAGATCTTAGCACGCCTCTGGCCCGTTGGGCCGGCGAATTCCTCTCCCGCGGCGGAGGAGAATGGAGGAGGAGGAGGAGGAGGAGGAGGAGGAGGAGGAGGAGGAGGAGGAAGAGGAGGAGGGGGAGTGGGAGGGGAAGGGAGGAGGGGGAGGATCAAGGGCCCCTTGCCGCCTGGGAGGTCGAGAAGTTCACCGCGCGGGAGCCGTCCGCGGAGCTCATCGAGGACATCGCCAGGGACGTGGCGCGGCACCACCGCGTGGAGGGCCTGCTCGGGGGCGAGGCGGGCAGCGCCGCTTCCGAGGGCGCCGCCTCCAGGATCGCTGGGCGGCGCCGGCCGCGTGCGGCAGCACTCGACGAAGGGCAGCGCACATCGATCCCGAACATCGGCCCTCGATCCCGCGCACCTCGACCCTCGAGCCCCGACCCTCGATCCCTCGGTCCCTCGACCCACGACACGCCACAGTCCGCTATACGCCGTCCTGGCGGCAGCCCGCGAGGCTGCGGACTGCCTCGACGGCAAGACGCTCTGGGGCTGGGCTTGCCGCGTCTGCTGCGGCGGCCCCAGGGGCCAAGACACCACCCGAGAGCGAAGTCCCTCCACCAGCCTCCCCTTCGCTCCCGGCCTGCCCGCTCTGCCTTCGCGCCCCTGCCCACTTTACATATCGCGCACTTCCCCCCGAGGAGGCAGGAGGAGGAGGAGGAGGAGGAGGAGGAGGAGGAGGAGGAGGGAGGAGGAGGAGGAGGAGGGAGGAGGAGGAGGAGGAGGAGGAGGAGGAGGAGGAGGAGGAGGAGGAGGAGGAGGGGAGGGGGGGAGGGGGGGGGAGGGGGGGGAGGGGGAGGGGGAGGGGGAGGGGGAGGAGGAGGAGGAGGAGGAGGAGGAGGAGGAGGAGGAGGAGGAGGAGGAGGAGGAGGAGGAGGAGGAGGAGGAGGAGGAGGAGGAGGAGGAGGAGGAGGAGGAGGAGGAGGAGGAAGAGGATGAGGAGGAGGAGGAGGAGGAGGAGGAGGAAGAGGAGGAATACGACTCATAAGAATACTAACAAGAATAATACGAACAATGATAATACTAATAAGACGAATTATATGAATACTAAGAAGCATACTAATACTACTACTAATACTAATACTAATACTAATACTAATACTAATAAGAAGAGTATTAAAAGGAAGAAGACGACTGATAATACTAATAATAATAATACGAATGATAATAATACTAATAATACTACTAATAATAGTAATACTAATATGATTAATAAAACTAGTAGTGGCCGTAATATTATTAATAACAATAATGATGGTACTAATAATATTAATAATATTAGTAATAATAATAATAAGACCAAGAATAAGAATACTAATAATACAAAGAATAATAATATGAAGAAGAAAGGGAGGAGGAGGAGGAGGAGGAGGAGGAGGAGGAGGAGGAGGAGGAGGAGGAGGAGGAGGAGGAGGAGGAGGAGGTGGGGGAGGAGGAGGGGGAGGAGGATGGGGAGGGCGAGCGGGAGGATGAGGGGGAGGGGGGGGGGAGGAGGATGAGGATGAGGATGAGGGGGCCCAGGCGCCGAGCACGGCAGCCTGCTTGGAGCCTGTCCAGGGAGGAGGCGGCGGGTGGTTTACCAGAGGGGGCGGCTGGAGGTACAACGAGACCTTCGGCGATGGCAACCACGGTCTCCTCATGCTTCCCCTGCGCGCTTTTTCCTGCCTCTTTCCGGTCGACCTCCTTGCCTCTCTCTTGTCTCTGCCCTTCCCACCAGGGTGCGTCGCGGGGTCGTCCCCGCAGTTTTGTCGCTCCGCCTCTGCCGCTCCCCCCCCCCTCACGGGTGTACGGGGACCTGGCTCCCACTCCTCGGGGGTCTGCACCACGGTCGCTGAACCTGTTTGTGCAGAGCTAGTTTGATGTCCCCCCTGGGGGCGACCGCCCCTGGGGGGGGGGCACGTCGGTCCGACACGGGCCGAGACAGATAGGAAGAGAAATTAACCACCAAGCAACATGAGTATGATGATGCTGATGATGACGATTATGATGATGCTGCTGCTGATGATGGTGATGATGATGAGGATGACGATGATGATGATGATGCTGTTGAGGATGTTGATGATGCTGATACCGATGCTGATGCTGCTGCTGCTGCTGCTGCTGATGATGATGATGATGATGGTGGTGGTGGTGGTGATGGTGGTGGTTGTGATGATGGTGATGATGATGGTGATGCTGATTTCGATGTTTTCTGAGGATGTTGATGGTGGTGAGGATGATGACGCTGATGGTGATGATGTTGATGGTGGTGATGATGATACTGATGATGATGAGGATGCTGCTGAGGATGATGCTGATGCTGCTGCTGCTGATGATGATGATGCTGATGATGTTGTTGATGGGTGATGATGCTGATGCTGACGCTGATGCTGATGATGATTATGACGAGGAGGAGGAGGAGGAGCAGGAGGAGGAGGAGGAGGAAGAGAAACGGTAGGAGGCGGAGGAGGAGGAGGAGGAGGAGGAGGAGGAGGAGGAAGAGGAAGCGTAGTAGGCGGAGGTGGAGGAGGAGAAGGAGGAGGAGGAGGAGGAGGAGGAGGAAGAGGAAGGGTGGTAGGCGGAGGAGGAGGAGGAGGAGGAGGAGGAGGAGGAGGAGGAGGAGGAGGAGGATGAGGAGGTTCCCCCTTCCAGCTTCCCCTTTCTCTCGAGCCTCCCTAGGATCGAGGGCCTGCTGGCTGGGAGGCAGTTCGAGGCAGAGGCGGCACAGGGCCAGCCCTCGGCGCCAGGCACCCCTAAGTCGGCGGCGGCCGCCGGGGCTCACGAGGAGAGCCTCAGTGACATGGACGACGAGGATCCAGCCAGAGGGTGGCGGCGGGGGAGGCAGTGTTATAAAAGCGTGTGACGTTTCATCCCGAATCTATGAAGCAAGTAAGTTGCGTGCACAGTTCAGCGCAGGCGGGATGGGCGGTATTGCAGCAGAGCTTTCTGCGTCCGCAGCAATATGTCTCGGGTCTCAGGGGTTCCCACAGAAGGCCTCGCTACGAGCAAACTGAGAACTGCACACCAGTGTTGAGTCTTGGAGAGAAGTCATTGTGCACAGCTGGAGGGTGGCGGCAGGGGAGGTAGGCCAGGGCCCTGGAAATCCAGACCTCAGCGAGTTACGCCAAAAATGTGGCGGGAGGTTCTTCGGCAGTGTTCAGCCCCTCGGAGCCATTACCGAGTCCCAGGCCCGTCAAAAGACTATTCAGGATGAAAAGACGTTCCCAGGGAATGGGTTGCGACCTCCGGGGGTCTACATTGACGACGTCGGGATCTGGGAACCAGGATTCTGTAAAACAGGATTTTGCCAGATCCAGCCTGAGAAAACGAACCATGTAAGATTTGTTTGCCGACGGCTGCACTTTTCTCGGGAGTGACTGTGTGCTGGTTTATCAGATTCGCCGTTTCCGGTTTCCTGAAAGAGGTGCTTGGTGGGGTGAAGAAAGGCGCGCCTGTCCAGCAAATTTTACGGCCAGGGTGGCAGTTCGTGTGCCCCTTCAGCGGGCCTTGGAGCTTCAGCTCACTTCGGCCTGGGCATCGAGGGGTCCAAGATCAAAGGATTGAGAGATCTTGTCGAGGTTGCAGGATCGAAGGGCAGGGATCGAGAGATCGAGGGATCGAGGGTCGGAGACCGACGATGTCAGGATCGATGGTCGAGGGATCAGTGATCGAACATCGAAGGGCCTGCCCGGAGAGGAGCTGGACTCGTACCTGCTCCTGGACCCAGAGGAGCAGCAGCACAAGGCGGAGATCTGGCACGAGGTCAACAAGGACTCCGCGGGAGGCTCCTGCACAGCCCCGCCGTGTCCGACGAGGGCCATCCTGGCCGATGTGGGGACTGATTCGTCACCGCCGTCAGGGGGATACCTTTTCGGGGACTGGGCAGGTATGTGCGCATGCATTATCTATTTGATGTATATACATATTTTTGGCCAGCGTGAGTCCCATGCAGTGTGTGTGTGTGTGTGTGTGCGTGCGTGTTTAGCAATACGTGTGGTGCGAACTATGCGGAGCAATCTATGTCGTGCAATATATGGGGTGCAATCGATGTGTTTCAATTTATCCGTATCAGTTGACGTTGTGCAAACTTTCTTGTGCAATCTACGAGGTGCAAGATGTGTTGTGCAGCGCATGCTGTGACATCGATGCTGTACAAACTATGCGACGCAATCCATGTGGGAGCACTCAACGTGGTGGACCCGATGTCGTGCAATCGATGTTGTGCTGTGCAAGGTATGCTATGCAATATCGGTGGAGCACTTTTTGGCGTGCAGCACTGCGGGTTCGCAAACTATGTTGCGCAATGTATGATGTGCAATGTATGTGGATCAATCTGAGTGGCGCAATGCATGTTGTGCAGTACATGTGGTGCGATATGGGTTTTGCAGTCGATGTTGTGTATTCTTTGCTTTGAAAGATTCGTGGTGCAATCTATGTGGTGCAATCGGTGCTGCTAAGTTTGTGTGTGTGTGTGTGGAACGAAACACATAGATATATGGTACAGCTAGTTTGCGCAGTCTGTGTTGTGCAATCTCTGTTGTGCAATCTATGCTTTGCAATCTATGGTGTGCAGTATCTGTGGTGCACTATCTGCCGTGCAAAATATCTGGTGAACATCAGTGGTGCAATATATTTGGTGGTTTTAGGGGGTACAATCAATCTTGTACAATCTATGTCGGGGCGGCGACGGCGGCGACACAGCCGCCAGAACGACAGACAGGCCAAGGAACGGGCGGCGAGGCGGCAACGGGGCTGCGACGGCGGCCACATAGCCGCCAGTCCCAAGACACGGCCCAGACGACGGGCGGAAGCGAGGTGGCGATGGGGCGGCGACGGCGGCCACATGGCCGCCAGACCGCAGACACGGTCCAGTTCCTGAGGACAGAAGTAAGAATCCCTACGTTCAAGCATTCTTTGGTAGTTCATGTATTCACAGATGCGTATACATACACACATACACATACGCATATTCATATACGGATATATCATAGTCAGGGGACCGTACGGTCATTCTCTGTCCCTTGGCGCGTGGCTGAAGTGAGGTTCCGTAATGCGGATTGTTGTTTTTGTTGTTGCGCTTTTGTATGTTTTGCTTTTTGTTAGCGTCGTCCCACCCGCGACCCGGCCCGCGACCCGGCCCGCGACCCACCCGTGACCCACCCGCGACACACCCTTGACCTTCCCGCGACCCAATCGCGGCCCGCCAGGGACCCACACGTGCACACCCGCGACACACCCCGCGACCCACCCGCGACCCACCCACAGTGCGTTAACGAACAGATCGATGACTGCGGCAGGCTCGTTGTATAATTTGTAAAAATACGGCGCCTGCGGCGGGCTTCTTCAGAGTTTCGCAGACTGCCGACGTCCCCGCCGCCCTCTCACTCTTATCCACACCTGCGGGATGCTACCTGTGTGTGCATATATATATATATATATATATATATATATATATATATATATATATAACAATACCCCGGGCCCCCTCCCAGGGCATCCTCCACCTCGCTCACATCTCAAGAAGCCCCCACAACGTAAAAGAATTGCCCAAGACGCCCCCAATCAACCCCAGGATAGCTTTCGGGCGGTTTTCCAGGCTCCCAGGAGGCCTCCAAGAGACCTCAAGAGAGCTCCAGGCCTCCCGAGAGCGCCCAGAGAACCTGAAACCGCTAATTTAAGTGTTTTTTTTTCTCCAAGGTCTTGGGCCTTCTCACCATTTCATGCTTCCAACGCTCCCAGACGGCCGAAGAGGCCCCCAAGACCGCCCAAGAGGCCCCCAAGACGGCCCCAAGACGGGTCAAGACGGCCCCAAGACTGCCGAAGAGGCGCCCAGGACAGCTCCAGACCACCCCAGAACAGGCCCAAGATGAGCCCAAGAGCGGGAGCAGGAGGCCTCCAGAGATCTCTGAGAAGACTCCGGGACCCCCCAGAGGCCTCCAACACACCCCAGACCCCTGAGAGGCTTTCAAGAAAGCTCCGACGAGGCCCCCCAAACAGTCCAAGAGAGCTTCGAGAGCCGTCGAGAGAAAGCCCGAAGAGGGTACAAACATTGATTTTCAGTGGTTTTTGTAGACTTTTCTCGCCTTCTCACGTTTTCCGGCTCCCAACGCTCCAAGACCGAGGAATATTGAAAAGAAGGGAATTTCAGAGATTCTTTTTTTCGACAAATGCGCGCCCCTTCCTCTTGGGGGTCCCACACCTTCCCGGAACATCTGCGGATCGCTCGCGGTACCGCGCTTCCCGACCTCCCGGGGAGCCCCCAAAACGCTCAAGGACAGCCTAAGACGACCCCAAGAAGCCCCCAGAACGTCAAAGAAAGGCCCAAGACGCTCCTAAGCAACCCAGGATAGCTTTCGGGCAGCCCTCCAGGCTCCCAGGAGGCCGCCAAAAGATTTCAAGAGAGCTCCAAGATGCCTCCCGAGAGCGCCCGGAGAACCTAAAGTCGTTAATTGTTATGTTTTTCTCCATGGTTTTGGGCCTTCTCACCATTTCATGCTTCCAACGCTCCAAGACGGCCGAAGAGGCCCCCAAGACCGCCCCGAGACCACCCAAGAGGCCCCCAAGACGGCCCCAAGACGGGTCAAGACGGTCCCAATATTGCCGAAGAGGCGCCCAGGACAGCTCCAGACCACCCCAGAACAGGCCCAAGATGAGCCCAAGAGCGGGAGCAGGAGGCCTCCAGAGACCTCTGAGAGGACTCCGGGACCCCCCAGAGGCCTCCAACACACCCCAGACCCTTGAGAGGCTTTCAAACAATCCCCGACGAGGCCCCCAAAACAGCCCAAGAGAGCTTCGAGAGCCGTCCCGAGAGAGCCCGAAGAGGGTAACATCGTTGCATTCCAGTGGTTTTTGCAGACTGTTCTCGCCTTCTCACGTTTTCCAGATTCCAACGCTCCAAGACCGAGGAATTCGAAAAAAGGGAATTCCATAGATTCCTTGTTTTTCAGTTGGGACTCCTACTCCCCATCCTCTTCCTCGAGCCCCATCAAGACTTCGGGGTCACATTCAAAAATGTTTCGGGAATGCTGTTGAACTCTCTGACGCTGTTTTGGCACTCGCTTGGATCGTCTTCGTGTCCTCCTTGACCATTGTAGAAAGCGAGTTCCCATGATCGCATAAGTTGAAGTAGTGGAGTTTTAAAATTTCTTTTTGTTCAAACCCACCCCCTGCTTATTTTTGCACGCAGACCCCGAGAGGCATCCCAACAGGCCGTGGCCTGCATGCAGAAAACGTCTACCCCACAGCCCAGGCACTAGAACTTGAAAAAAAAAGGAAATCCCACCATTCCGTTTTGTTTTCCAAGTTCGCCCCCTGTCTACTCTTGCACAGCAGACCACAATGAAGGCCCCAGAAAAGAACCCAGGAAGCCTTCGAGGGCCCCAAATCGCTGAATACCGAACGGCAATCAATGATTCTTGCGTTTCCGCAGTTCCCCGTCTATACGATTCCGAGGCCTGCGCAGGGCCTCCAAGAGAGTCCCTGGATGCAAGAAACGACGAGGATGATATTCCATGCGCTCGCCCATCAAGCCTAGCTAGACCTTGAGCGCGCGCGAGGCGCGCGCGATATATATATATATATATATATATATATATATATATATATAGATATATATATAGGACCTTGAGCGCGCGCGAGGCGCGCGCGATATATATATATATATCTATATATATTATATATATATATATATATATATATATATGCATATGTATATATATATATATATATATATATATATCCACACGGAGAGGGGGGCCTGGCGGCCCCGGGGAGCCCTGACTTGAGCACCCGGCCTCTGGCCCCTGTCCCGGGGCGGCTCTCGGCCTTCCCTGGGTACGTGCGGCAGGCTTTCGAATTGCTTCCAGGCGGCCCGAGGTCGCCGAAATGTTGTTCCAAGACGCCCGAGACGGCCCAGGAGGCCCCCAAGACGGCCCAAGAGGCCCCCAAAGAGGCCCCAGGAGGGCCTGCAGAGTCAAAAATGGCCCCGCTCCATTCGGGAGACAGATCTTTTTAGAATATTCGTCTCTGGAGCTTGCAGAGCATCCAAGACGGCGCGCGGGGCCTCCAAGATCGCCCCAAGACGGCCCAGGAGGCTCCCTACAGGGATCCAAGACGGCCCAAGAGAGCCCCAAGAAGGCCCAATAGGCCCCCAAGACAGCCCATGAAGGCCCCAGGACGGCTCCAAGAGGGGGCCCGGAAGGGGTACCCGAACGGACGTTTCAAGCCTTCGGCCCTCACGACGATGGAGTACGGGACGCCTCCTGCTGACGAGAGGACTACCTCGAGGAGTGGCACCTGCGCAGCCGCGAGGCGCGGCGGAAGAGGGAGCAGCAGGAGCAGCGCTCCCAGAAGGCGGCCTCCGACGCCGGCGCGGCCAGCGACGCGGCCAGCGAGGCGGGCAGCGCGCGGACGGGCACGAGCGGCGCGTCCGGGAAGCGGCGGTTCCCCGCCGCCTCGTCCTGCACGCAGTCGGCGGTCCTGGCGCTGACGAAGAAGGGCAAGGTCAACAAGAATCGGACCTGGGGATTCTGGAGGGGAGGGAGCCCACCGCGCCCCTGCAGTGGAGGAGGGGTCGGCCGGAGTGGGGCAGGGCGCAGCTGGCGCACCTGTTCTCGCTCTCTCTCTCTCTCTCTTTCTCTTCTTTCCCGCCTCTCTGCCCGCCTCTCTTGTTCCGCTGCCCCTGCGATCTGGAGGTGCCATGGAGGCCCCCGAAGGCCTCCGGAAGGCCTTCGGAGGTCCCATGAGGCTCCCGCGGAGGCCTCCCCCCCCCCCCCCCCCCCCCCCCCCCCCTGTTTGTAGGTCCCCGGAGGCCTCCGCGGAGGCCTCCGCGGAGGTCCTTTGGAAGAGGCCAGGGCGCTGCAGACGCCTCGCTCGTCGTGCCTCAGCCCGCGCGCCTCGAGCCCCGAGCCCCCCAGGGTTCGGTATCGGTTAACCGATCCCCATCCCCATCCCCATCCCCTTCGAGACCCACCAAATTACCACCCCAGTTGGGGATGCACCCCTCGACGCCCGACGAGAACGACCTATATCCCCATCTAGGGGGGTAACTCGGCCAGTGGGGCCCAGGCCACGCCGCTGGGGATGGGGATCGGTGAAACGATGCTCAAGGATCAACATCGAGAATCTGGAGAAGCTCTTCAACTTCGAGTGACCCGGGCCCAGGCGCCCTCCGCCGAGCAGAGTGGCGCGGCGTCTGAGCACCTCCGCGGGCCGCGGTGCCCTTCTCCCCCTCTTCCCTCCTCCGCCGACGTCCTCGTCGACGTCGTGCTCGTCGTCGTCGTTGTCGTCGTTCTTGCCGCTGTTCTCGTCGTTGTCTTCTTTGTCGTCGTGATCGTCGTCGTCCTCGTCGTCGTCGTCGTCGTCGTCCTCGTCGTCGTCGTCGCCGTTGTCGTCCTCCTCCTCCTCCTCCTCCTCCTCCTCCTCCTCCTCCTCCTCCTCCTCCTCCTCCTCCCCTTGGGCCGCGCACGTGCCTCGGGCCATGATTTGCGACTCCCCCTGTCGGACGCCCCCGGGTCGTGAGGGTTCCTGCCATGTGTGGCCTCGGGGGGACCCTCGCCGGGCCCTGGCACCGTCAACAGCAAACCGACTCGTGGCCGAGGACGGCTCGCCGGGGAGAGAGCCTCAGCCCGAGGGCAGCGGGGGTCGCTTCAGAGGCCCCCGCCGCGTCGTGAGTCCGCGGCCACCCTGCAGGCAGCGTGCCGCGCTGACGTCTCCCGAGACGTCGTCGATCTTCGGCCCAGGAATGGCACGGTGCACAGGCGTTCGGCCCGCAGCGCCGAACAAGTGTGCACCGCACCGCGTTGGAGTGGGACCTACAGGGGAGTCCAAGCATGGTACGGTGCATGGGCGCCTTTCTCGTCGTGAAGGGCCCCTGAGGGCTGGGCGTCGCAGTTTTTTGTTGCGTCCTGGGCGATTGCGGCCAGATCCGGGTCCTGGGGGGCCCTTGCAGATCGATCCGGCTCGGGAAGGGCCGCAGAAGGAGGGGATCTATAGGGCTCTGGTCCTGGTCTTGCGCGATCCTGTGCTTCCCAGCATGCGCTCGGATTTCTGGGGCTTCCTGCTCATGCGCTCGGATTTCTGGGGCTTCCTGCTCATCTGCAGGAGGAAGTGGAGGGGTCGGCCGAGGTTTCGCCTGGTGCCCCGTTGGCGCCCGCCCGTGGGCGCCTCGCCGGCGCCTCGTGCGCCGGGTGGGTCCGCCGAGGGTTCGCCCGGTGCCCTTTCCGTGGGCGCCTCGTGCGGGCGGCCGCGTAGGTTCTCCCTCCAAAAGGAGAGCAGAGTCGACCGCCCTCTCCCCGTCAGACTTCTGGACGCCTCCTGGGGCCCGGCAAGGTACATCTGATGCTGCCTCATCGCTCACATTCCATAGGAGTTCATGCCATCCCAGCCAGAGCGGTATCGCCCACTCGTCTCTTTCAAGGACTGCTATCCGCGCACACTCGTTTACTGTAACCGATGTTTTCAATACTCCCTGGCAACAAACTGCACAAAGTCCATGCGCGCGCACTCACTCATATCGACTTCATACCGACCACAGCAGTTCTGCACATATGCCAGCACGAAGATCACAGCAACCGTAGGTTCGTAATCACAAATCTTGCAAATGCTCCGACCGCGCGCATTGGCTGACATCGTATGGAAACACCCGCATTCTCATCTCACCTCGCGGTACATCCGCGTTGTTGCAGCATGCGCCCAGAGCACGAATCCGTGTCAACTAGTAGCATGCGGGCCACGCGCGCGCGCCACCACGCGAGCGTGTCGAAGTTGGTCCAAAACCATTGGTGCTCGCAGCGTTGCAAAATAGGAAAGAGCGTATTCTACCGCTGCTGGCGGAAAACCGGGGGGGGGTCACTGGGGGTTCCCAACCCGTCCCCCCCCCCCCGCGAAAACCGGGGGGGGGGGGTCACTACCGGTTCGAATCCCTCCCCCCCCCAGTCCATCATGAAAGGGGGGGGGTCACTACCGGTTCGAACCCCCCCACCCCGCCCCCCTCCCCCAAAAAACGGGGGGGGGGTCACTACCGGTTCGAACCCCGCCCCCATGCACCTCCGGAAGAGCGGGGGGGGGTCACTACCGGTTCGAACCCCTCCCCCCCCTCGCCGCCGGCAAACGATTCCCGCTCCTCGGGACAGTTGGACAATGGTGGGGATGCTGAGACAGTGGTGGGCACGGTGGTGGTGGGGACAATGGTGCGGGGACAGTGGGACAGTGGTGCGGACAGTGGTGGGGACGGTGGTGGTGGGGACGGTGGGACAGCACAGTGGGACAGCGGCGGGGACAGTTGGACAGTGGTGTGTACAGTGGGGACAGCGGGACAGTGGTGGGGACTGTGGGGAAAGTGGGGAGAGTGGGACCGTGGTGGGACAATGGTGGGGAGAGTGGGGACAGTGAGACACTGGTGGGATCAGTGGTGGGGACAGCGGGGACAATGGTGGGAACAGTGGGGAGAGTGGGACAGTGGTGGGGACGGTGGTGGTGGGGACAGTGGTGTGGGGACGGTGGGACCGTGGTGGAAACAGTGGGACAGTGGATGGTGCAGTGGTGGTGGGGACAGTGGTGAGGACGAGGACGGCGGTGGGATAATGGGACAGAGGTACAGTGGGGACAGTGGTGGGAACAGAGGTGGGAACAGTGGGACAGCTCAGTGGGACAGCGGCGGGGACAGTGGGACAGTAGGACAGTGGGGACAATGGGACAGTGGTTGGGGCCGTGGAGAAAGTGGGGAGAGTGGAACCGTGGTGGGAACAGTGGTGGGGACAGTGGGGACAGTGCGACAGTGGTGGGGCACTGGGGACAGTGGGGACGGTGGTGGGAGCAGTGGTGGTGAGGACAGTAGTGCTGGGGACAGCAGTGGGGGATGTGGTGCGGACGGTGGTAGGAACCCGGGAGTTGGGGTTCGAACCGGTAGTGACCCCCCCTGGTTTTCGGGGGGGGGGGTTCGAACCCGTAGTGACCCCCTTCAGCTTTCGAAGGGGGGGGGGGTTCGAACCGGTAGTGACCTTCCCCTCGTTTTTTTGGGGGGGGGGGGGGGGAGGGGGGTGTTCGAACCGGTAGTGACCCCCCCCTTTTCATGATGGATTGGGGGGGGGAGGAGGGGTTCGAACAGGTAGTGACTCCCCCTGGTTTTCGAGCGGGGGTGCCGGGGGGGGCTCGAATCGGTAGTGACCCCCCTTGGTTTTCGAGGGGAAGGAGGGGTTCGAACTGGTAGTGACCCCTCCCGGTTTTCCGGAGGGGGGGGTTCGAATCGGCAGGGACCCCTGATTTTCCGGAAGGGGGGGGTGGGGGTTTGGGGGGGGGGAAGGGGGGGGGGTCCAGCAGGGGTGGGTGGGGGGATTTTCGGAGGGGGGGGGACTCCCAGGTTCCGGAGGAAGAGGGGGGGAATTTTCCATAGTGAAGCGGCGGTGGATCACGTTCTCCTCTCTCCAAAATAGAGGTCTGCAAACACGTCTGGAAAACACGCATGTTACAACATACTTGCCAGGGTTCTCGAATTTCCGCGCGCGCGCGCTTCCTCACCATCACCCTCATCAGCGCCGCATAATCACGTCATCGCCATCGACACTCGCCGCCATTGCCGCCATCACCACCCAAGCACTTTCGCAACCCGTAACCGACACATTGACATTCTCAACATCATTGACGTTACCAGCATCGGCGCCCTCATTGGCCCTGCCGTCGTCATCGTCATCGTCGCCACCACCATCGCTACTACCATCGCCGGTTCCGCGGATGTCGACGTCATCACGGTACCGCGCCCGCCCGAGACACCGACCGCATTGAAGTGCCCGCGCGCCAGCACGGCCTTCGACACGCGTTGGTCATCGGAAAGCGCCATCGCGGCCGCATCGGCCGTGCCATAGCAGTTGGCCACTCTGCGCACGAGTTTGTGCGCGCCAGCGCGGCCGCAGAGATGCGCCAGTCATGGCCAAGCAGTCATTGCAGTCGCTGCTGCATGGGTTTTGCAAACGAAGTTGCGGGTGGGTGGGCTGGATGATCTGGCGAGCAGCGGAGTCGTCAACTCTGAAGTTGACAGATTTAAGTATACTGCGCATATCTTACTACGTAGCTCGCATCACGTAGCTTCCACCACATCGCTAGCATCACATAGCTTGTACCACATACCTAGCTTATACCACGCAGCCTCGCACCACTTATATTGCATCGCACAGCTTGCGCCTCCTAGTTCACACCACTCAGGTTGCACCGCATAGCTCCCACCACATAGCTTACACCACATAGCTAGCATCACATAGCTTGTGCCACATACCTAGCTTACACCACGCAGCTTGCACCACTCATATTGCATCGCACAGCCTGTGCCTCCTAGTTCACACCACTCAGGTTGCACCGCATAGCTCCCCCCACATAGCACGCACCACATAGCCTGGACTATCACCAGCACGACATAGCTTACATCACGTAGCTTGAACTTCACCGCTTGCGCCAGATAGCATACAAATCCACAATGCAACATCTAACTGTTTGGCGTCTGCTCTGGCAAACATGTGTTTTGCGCGGCGTCGGATCTCGAGTCAGCCATAATCGAAGGTTCCTTGCGATTCTGGGCCTCGTTGGGTTTTCGCCAGGTTCCGGGACCGTCAGTAGAGAACGATGCAGGATGAGAGCTGCGGTCCCGGGGGAGGGGTCGAGACCTCGGGGTGTCCACGTTGCGATTGGCATCACGACGGTGGGGTCTGAGAAGGGGTCCCGAGGCAAACGGGTCCACGGATACCCTGAGGCCAGCTTTGCTGGTTACAACGTTTTCTGACAGCTCCAGGGCCTGGGGGGGGCCCCGCGAGGCGACATGTGGCAACAAAGCTTCAGGTCCCCTTCTGAGAGCGGTAGAACATCGCACAAAGACAAGCCTCAGACGCCCGTGGGCAGTTCCCCCGCCGACCTTCGGGCCCCCGCCCCTGGAGCGGCGCCATCTCGGTGCCAACCCCGCAGCGCGCATCAAGGTCCACGCGCCATGTGAGGGTTGCCGCGCGGAGGGGTGCTGGCTGGTTCGGCGAAGTGTTGCGCGGACTTCCGAAGTTTTTCCCAACCCTCCTGTGTTGGGTTTTCGTTTTGGATGGAGCACTGCGGTCGCGTCTCCTCCCGCCTCCCGCCTCCCTTCTCCTCTCTTCCCTCCTGCCTGCCTGCTACTCTGCCTCCCACCTCGTCATCCTGCCTCGGGGACTCCCTGGGCGCTGCGATCTTTGAAACTGTCACCACTTTCGAGGGCCGCTGGGGGGTTCAGCGGAGTGACTTCCCACGCGGATGGAAATTGGACCTCGCCATCCCTGGGGGGCTGTGATCTTCGAAAGTGTCGCCGCTTTCGAGGGCTGCTGGGGGGTCCGGGGGATTAGACTTCTCCATCCTTAGTGGGCTGCCATCTGCAACACTGTCGCCACCTTCGAGGGCTGCTGGGGGGTCCAACAGAGTGACGTCCCACGCGGACCTAAATTAGCCCTCGCCACTCCTGGACGGCTGTGATCTGCGAAATCGTCGCCACTTTCGAGGGCTGCTGGGGAGTCCAGCGGAGTGACGTCCCGCGCGTCCCGAAGACCTGGCGGCGCGCCTGCTGGCATTCAGCTCCCGCGCTGCACGGAGCAGGAAGGAAGCGGAGAACCTGGCACTACCTATGAACACTGATCTTCTCGAGCGCCAGAGCGACACGGCGCGTGCCGCGCTGCTTGTGCAGCGTGCCACTGGAAGATGGACCGCCACCCTCTTTGCTCATCCTGCTCCTTTTGTTGTCGTCCTCTTCTCACTTCGCTGCCTCACTGCTGCTGTCGCGTTAACTGTGTTGCCCCCCTTCCGTCATTTGTTCTGCCCTTCGTTCCCACCACCGTTTCCTTTTCGAACCTGGACTGTCCCCTGAGTCGCGCGATGCGCGCGCCGCCCATATAGCTTGCATGACCAGAGTCAAATCTTGTGTTGTCACCGGCCAAAAGGATTCTGGTCCAGGTCCTCTTGTCGCTTAGTGTAGAACGCTTGGGTGCGTCTCAGGGTATTTACATGTGTGGCAATTGCATGGGGCCCTCCCGGTGCCCTTGGGTCGCAAACAAAACGCACGGCCGCATCATCGTGAAAAGGCAGGCCCCGTGGGAAGGCCCTGGGTTTCCAGACTCGGAAGGAGAAAGAGTATGAATGACGCGGCGCCGTCAGCAGCCCATCTGCGTGCCGTTCCTTCTTTTTTGCCTGGAGACCTGGTGCTTCTTCAATGGTAGTACGCTGATGGCTTCCACACGGCAGCGTGTCTTTGATATTTTAGACGTTTCGCGGAACCCCACCAGCCCATCCAGAAACGATGCCCTGACAGACATGGAGTAGAATGCAGCGGCATAAACCTTCTCGCCGAGGTCTGTTGGGGCGTCTTGGGTGCCTCTGGGGTGCCTCTTGGGGCGTCTTGGGGGTCTCTTGGGGGCAGATTGTGGGTATCATCTTTGGGGCCTTTCAGAGCCTCCTTGGGGGCCATCTTTGGGCCATCTTGGGGGATATCGATCAAAGGAGGGGCGCTCCCCAATTTGGTTCCCCCCCCAGGAAGCCAACATGTGACCAACACTTTTCTGTAAAGTCAATGATTTCGGCCTTCTCGCCGCCCCCCTGCCCGAAGGGCGCGGGGGGAGCGGGCGTTAGTCCAGCGAGCCGCCCAGCCTCCAGCAGGTCCCGCCTGCCGTCCCAACAGGCCAGCCTCTAGCCTCTTGCCTTCCTGGGCAATGGTCGCCATGCGGGAAGCGGGTCCTGAGGAAAACGGGTCCTTAGGTCCTTAGGTTGTTCGTCGCTTTCGGGCTCTCGGGGCTCTCCACGGGCCCCAGGAGCGTCAGGAAACGGTTCAGGATGAAAAACTGGAACTGAGGGAAGGCCCCAGGATCCAGGACCTGTTTTCCTCAGTTGTCGTTTCCCCCATACCAAAATAGGCAGCCTCCGCGAAAAAGCGCCAAGCGTTTGCAGGAGTCCTGCACAACGGGGGCACGCCTGGATGGCTCTGGGTCAAGCGGCTCCAGTCGGCCCTCAGCTGTCCAGACGGCCTCGAGAAGGCCCGAGGTGGCCCCCTTCGTTCGCTGTCCTCTCCGCTGCCCTCGGGCGCACTCACCGCCCGCCCCCCTTGCCTGCTCCGGCCCCCTGGCAGAGCCGGGGCCGCAGGGCGTAGGGAATAGGCGCGGGCGCCTCTCGCCTCGACGCCGAGAGGCAGGATGCGGGCGGGGTGCGCGGCCTGCGCCGACGAGGGGCCCGACGCGCGCCGCGGCAGAAAGCGCGCGCCCCGGCGGAGGGTGCCGGCTGCACGCCTGCACCGCCTGTGGCCAGGCCCGTGCCTGGGCCCCGCCTCGGTGCATGATGCCCCCTCTCCCGCCTCGGCGACGGGGGCACGACTGAGTCACCGGCCCCGGCCGAGCCCGTCCCGGGCCCAGGGTCGGCGCATCCCCCGCCCCCCCCCCTGCCTTGGGCGAAGACGGCGTGCACACCGACCCTCGGCTGGCCAGGGTCGGCGCAGGTGGGCAGTCGACGCCCTCCGACCCTTTGCAGGGCACATATAGCGCAGCGGGCCAGGGCGCCGCACGTTGCTGCCGGGGCGGAGCGCTGCGCGCGCGTGTGCCGACGCGTGCTTGGTGCGTGCGCGCACTCTCGTGTGTGCCCCGAGGTCCTCGAGAGTGAGCCTGGGTTTCTCGCGTCGCTGACCCCGGGGTCCTTGACGCGCCCCTCCGCAGGCGTGCAGGTGCCGAAGGCGCTCCTCGCCCAAGGTGCCCCCAGGTTTGGGCGCCATTGGGGGGGGGCCCGCGTGTGCCGCTCCGCGGGGCAGTGCGACAGGCACACCACATGCACCCCCTCCCTGACAGCAGGCCGATCGTTAAACAGGTGCTCGTGGCGCAAGGTGTTTCCAGCTCGTGGCGCCATTCTGGAGGAGGAGGAGGAGGAGGAGGAGGAGAAGGAGCAGGAGGACCAGGAGGAGGAGGAGGAAGAGGAGGAGGAGGGGGGTAGAGGAGAAGGACGAGGAGGAGGAGGAGGAGGAGGACGAGGAGGAGGAGCCTGAGGAGCCCTCTGGGCCCCATGAGGCGTGCTCTGAAAGCCGCGGGAGCGACTTGAGCAGCCCAGGCCGTCCGCGCGGACACTCGCGCGCGAGCCGCCCGCGCAAGGTCTCGCGCGAGCTCCCTGGTATTTCCAGGCGACTAGCCTGGACGGCGGCCCGCGTGCGGTTGGTTCCCGTCGCTTCGACGCGGCTGCGACCCCAGCGCGGGCGTTCAAGGTTGAACACGGCTCGTGGCCCGAAACGTGTCGACATCGAGCAGTCACAGTCTGCGCGATGGGGAAAAGGGGATTTGTCAAGCTGGAGCGATCCTGGCGGTGCCAGCACAACCCACGCACAAGTTCCGAGGGCCCCCAAACAGTGTGGCGACCACATTGCGTGGTGAGTCGGAGAGGAATCGGCGTGACCGCACAAATTCGGGACTGGGGTCGTTCTCCCAGGGCATCTCGGGCTCTGGGGCCTCCCCAAGGTTCCCAAAATAGTGTGGGAACGGACCGTGCGGTGAGGTTTTCTAAGGGCTTCGAGGTCACCGCACGGTCACCGCACCGCTTCGGGATCCCCCCAGCAAAAATCAAGGGAGGAAAAACCTCTCGGACCAGACAATTGGCGTTTACGAAACGGCCCTGGGCGTTTACCAAACAGCCCTGCCTTGTTCGATTCTTTTCGTGGGTGCGTTTCCGAAGCGGCTTCGCGCGTCGGGGTGGCTTTCTTATCGGGGTGGCTTTTCTGCCCTCTGAAAAAGCGTCACGGCGTGGGCCTGCCGCGTGCTGCCGCGTGAGGCCACCACGCCGCCGCGCGCACGCCCGAGGCTCCTCGGCGCCCTCGGGCGCTCCCCCCCTCGCCCTCCTCCGCTCGCGGCCGGCCCGTCCTGCGCGAGCCCCGCTCGGCCCCGACGCGTGCTCGCCGGCAGTGCCGTGCCTCCGCCGTTCTCTCGGGGGCGCGAGAAGCACGGCCAAGGCCCTCCTTCGAGGAGGGCCTGCCCCGGATAGGCTCAGGTCGGGCAGGTCCCCCTACAGGAGGATTTTGGACGAAAAATGAAAAGTACCCCAAAAATGCCCAAAACGCACAACAATTGGGAAAAAATAGTTCCCAGACTATTTCTTGACTATTTTTGATTATGCCCCCTGTAGAGGGACAGGCCCGACTTAAGGACAGGCACCGCCATCGGGTCCGAGATCGGGGTGCCTCACCCCCGAGCGTTCCGGAACGCTCGCGGAGCGCTGTCCGGGACGCTTTGGAGCGGCCGTGGCGCCCGACGCCACCCTTTCGGGCCCGGCAGCTCTCGCAGATCCCAGGGTCCTCCCGAGCCGGGTGCTGCTGCGTTCCTGCCCTCGGCGGGCACCTCCTCCCGCTGGTCCTTGGGCTCCCTCCAAGCCCGGGCGCGCGCTCCCCTCCTTGCCGCCCCTCCTCCCCGCTCCCCTCTCCTCCCCGCGCCCTCTGTCGCGTCGTCGTCGTCGTCGTCGTCGTCGGCGTCTTCGGCGTCGTCGTCGGCGTCGTCGTCGCTCCTTCTCTTGCCACGGGGCTCCTCTCGGCTGGTCCAACAAATAGACCGTGTTGTCGATCGTGCCTTTGCCCTCATGATCTCCGGGGGGGGCAGCTTCGGCAGCGCCCTGGCGGGAGTGCTGCCGCGCCTTGGCCGGCGAGGGCCCGCGGCAGCCCTGCGGTTTCGGCGGTCTCTGGGCCTGGGTGGTCTTGTTGGGACCCTGGTGGTGCTCTAGGCTCAGCTACCCTGATCTCGAAGGGCTCGACTTTTCGCCGATCGACTTGTGGGGATCATGCTGGATAGGTGAAGGTAGGTGCGGAGTAATCGAAGTAGATCCAAGTAAAGTCTAGCAAATCAAGGAGGTGATTTCGGGTAGAGCTAGAAATCTCGGGGGAAAGCTTGAGCAAGTCGTGGCCGTTCCTGCGAGAGTCGAGGGAAGGCAGAAGCCGTTAAGCCCTGAAATACCTGATACGCACATGCTGAAACGTAACACGTGCCATGTTCAGCACGTGCCTCACGCACGTGTTTGTCCAAGTTTTGGCGAGCATGTCGCGCTAGACCTGCGTTGTAAGCCTGCGTGCTGAGCTTCGTGTCAGCACGCTACGGGCTGTGTGTCGCGTATCGGGACAGCAAAGACCCTGGGACACCTCACAGAGGTTAAGATCAGCTGAAGTCGTGCCGCAGCTTGCGTCCAGCAAGGCTCCTCTTCGTGCGTATCTATGGTCGTCGCACGCGATCGCACATCTCTGCCAACGCGCCCACAATGCGCACGGCATGCTTGTTCTTGTTCTTATGATTATGCGTAGTCGTCCCTTCCCCGGTTCCTTTACCATAATCCGCTCGAAATTGTTTCCCAGAGCTGTCAGGGTCCATCTTCGGCTGTGCCCTGGGCGCCCCAGAAGGACTCAAGAGAGCAATCCGAAACGTCGAAAACATTGCGTTGATCCTGGGCCCTTCTTCCCAGGGGCCGGTGCCTTATCATATCATCAGTGATTTAGGAGTTGACGGCGCCAGGGCCCAGTATCGGAGCGTGTCCCAAAACTTTCGCCGTGATATTCTCGTGACGAGAGGCGGTTGCGGGTCGTCCTCCCGCAAGACAACACATGAGGATCCCAGGCCCGTGAATGGGGTAGCTCGTCTTCAACTTCTCACTCCGGGTGAGCTTTCGGCGACCGCGCCGCCTCTTCTGACTGGCCTGAGGTAGCCTGGCTATGGCCCCCTCCCCCCCCCTGCCAGCCCGAGCACGTGCGCGCAGGAGCGAGGACGGGATCGGCTCCCCCCCCCGCGCGGGTCCGCCCCATCCTGCCCTTTGCCGGGCAGCACGGCCTGCCGAGAGCCGGCGCGTGGCGGCGCTGCGCCACGCTTTGGCGGAGCCTCGCGTCGCAGCAGGCTCGGCGGAGGGACGCCGCGCCCTCCTGGGGTGGCCTTCCGGGCACTCCTAGGCCCCGCCCGCCTGTTGCAACGGTCTACCGCCCGTCCGCCGGAGTTGGCCCACCTCTCCGCCGGCCCGAGAGGCCCCGAGGGCCGTCCACGTCGATGGCAATTCACCGTCACCCGGTGGGGAGGAGGAGGAGGAGGAGGAGGAGGAGGAGGAGGAGGAGGAGGAGGAGGAGGAGGAGGAGGAGGAGGAGGAGGAGGAGGAGGAGGGGGAGGAGGAGAAGGAGGAGAAGGAGGAGGAGGACGAGGAGGAGGAGGAGGAGGAGGAGGAGGTGGAGGAGGAGTGGGAGGCGTCCCGGCGCACAGCAGGAAGAAGGGGTGTAGCGCCGGCGAAGCGGGCGAGCTGCACCAGCACCACCGCTGCCAGCACGAGCAGCACCAGCACCAGCACTTGCACCGGCGAGTGGGATGAGGATGGTAGTCGGGGCTCAAGAGGCGGATGCAAACAGGTGTCAGCCAGAGCGCCGGATCTTGGAGGATCCTGCAGGGCCAGAGGCGCACTGGCCCGGGTTTGGGGGCAGGGTCCGGCTGGATCCTGCAGGACTCTGCAAGGCCTGACTGATCCGGGTCTGGATTGACCCGGGTGAGTGCTTCCCCGATGGTAGCACTCTCACTAACATGCGAGGCCCCACTGCAAGCACACAGACCACTCCGAGAGTCCGCCCGCTGGGCCCCGCCCGACACAGGAGTGCGAGGCGTCCTGGCGGCTGCTGGAGGACGGCTTCGTGGAAGTCGAGCAGTGGGCCGCCGGGAGGGGGCACGGCGGGCTCGGCTGCTGCCTGCAATGGGGGGGTGTTCGGACCGGGATGTTCGTCTGGTCTGTCAAGGGGCTGAGGGCTTTCGCAGAGGAGTGGAGCTTGGTTCGGATGCGCACCAGCGTCCCGCAGCTCAGGAAGTTGAGCCGCCCATGCACCGAGTTGCTTGGCCGACCGCTCGATTTGCTGTATACTTCGAGCTTCTCCCACACCTGAGCAGGTCGTCGTCGCCATTGCCGTTGCAAGGTCGTCGTCGTCGTCGTCTTCGTCGTCGACGTCGACGTCAAGGTCGTCGTCGTCTTCGTTGTCGTCGTAGTCGCCGTCGTCGTCGTCGTTGTCGTCGTCAAGGTCGTCGTGGTCAGTGTCGTCGTCGTCGTCGTCAAGGTCGTCGTCGTCGTCGTCATCGCCGTCGTCGTGGTCGTCGTCGTCGTCGTCGTCGTCGTCGTCGTCGTTGAGGTCGTCGTCGTCGTCTTTGTCGTTGTCGTCGTCGTCGTAGTCATTACCGTCGTCGGCGTCGTCGTCGTCGTCGTCGTCGTCGTGGTCGTCACCGTCG